GCTTGTGAGCATAATTTTTTCTGGAAACATGATTTTAATCCAAAGCATTTGTATATCAAAGTAAATTTTCCTGTAAGAAATAATAGAAACTCAGATGATTAGTTTCACAACCCAATATTCATATAAAAATGGTTAAAATACTATGTGTTATTAATAATAAATAAAATATAAAATATAAAGAAAAAACATTAATTTGCCCTTACCTTTAAAAACCTTTGTGGCTGGTGTGAGGGAAGTAAGAGAGAGGAAGGTTATTGTGTAGGACAACTTTCACTATCACTAATGAAATTACTGCTATCTGTTAGCTCAATGAAATCTTTTTCTTTCGGTGCAACTTAAACAAGGAGCCTATCCAGTGACACTTGCTTTTGTCTCCTTTTGAGGATTTTGCAGCAATGTGGCATTGGATTATCTTAAACATATTTCTTGCTTGCCCTGCTACACCCTTATTCAGGTGGAGCTTTTCTATAAAATTTTTCATTTTTGTCACATTTTACACATGTCCCTAATCTCATTTGAAGCAAGGATTCCTCTGACTTTTTCTCTTCTTCTGCACGTGGGATTTCCATCATGAGCTTTTGCTATTGGGAGATGATCACCCATAATTCCATACAGAGGGAGAGAGAGAGAGGGAATTGGCTCAGTTGTGATCATGTGATATTTGGCATCCCGTACTACTACTCGTATTGTAAGACACCACTCATTTATCAAGTTAAAACTTATTAGAAATGTTTGTTCATCTTGCAGAAAACTCTTAGAACAAGTTACTTACAATCCAAAGTTTTACTGTATTTGAGAAAAACTTTTATGGCTTATATCTAAATGTCCCCTCAATACCTCGTGCACTAATAAGTGAGGCTTTTGGGAAGTGACTGGATCATGCATGTGTAATACTGGATTAAGGGTCTGAGAACTGAATTAGTCCACTGACTAGTTTAGCATAGTTCTGGGTGAGGATAATGGGAAGGCCTAACATTGGTTGATGGGTGGCACCAACCAATAGGCTTGTAGCCTAGATGGGATGAAAAGAGAAAGGGAGACTTGCTGCTTGATGCTTCCTGCTATGGACTGTTTCTCTTCTGTCATGCCCCTTTGCCATGCTGCCCTGCCTTAGAGCTAGCTGATTATTATTACTGAAACCTCTACAAACTGTGAGCCAAAATAAGCCTTTTCTCCTTTAACTTGAGGGTGTTGGGTATTTTGTTCTAGCAATGAGAAAGTGACTAAGGTACCTTTCAAATAATTAAAAATGACTACTTCTAACAGCAGAAATGTTTGTCATTTTAGAACTTATTTGATAAATGAATAAATTAGATAATGTTTGTCATTTTAAAACTTATTTATTTAAAATCATGTGTATCTATCATAAGTAATGTTAAAATGAGTAAATAAAACATCCCTGATCTCACAAGACATAACACAAATGAATTTAATTTTCTAAGTGTTTATTGGGCGGTGAGCAACACATAGTAGCCATAGAGAAAAATGAGATTAATAAAATCAATCTATTCCTTTTAGGAAAATATAATCTAAAGCATTATAGTAGCAGAAAGAACTAAAAGGAGAGGACCCAGAGAGTACTACAACCTCCACTGCCCGTTCCAGCCACTATAGCCTTGGGGATGACGTTCTTGCACACTCCAGACAGAAAACATTTGACTTAATATCATTACTCTAATAACCCCACTGTTGTTTTTGTAGATACTATAAGGATCTTAAATCCAATGACTTCTGTCATATATGATGCTTATGTTGCGTGTTTATACACTGTGTATCTACACATGTGCATGAGTATGAACATATATACACACATCAAACATAAGGTTCAGTTTTTCTTGGAAAATATAGTAAACATTTCCAACAAATGGCACATGAAAACTAGTCTAGATTTGGGCCAGGGATTTAGCTCAGTGGTTTCACCACCTGCTGCGCAAGCGCAAAGACCCGAGTTCGATCCCCAGTACCAAAAAAAAACTAGTCTAGATTAGATTTAACATTAGGACTCTTATATAAATAACCAACCTAAGCTAACTGCTTCCATCCTCATGCTGCTGTCCCAATTCCTTTGGAAATACAAATTTTAAGTGTAAAACTTTTATTTAGTCTTGTATATAATTCAAAGAAATACCATGTCACAGTGATATTTGATGAGAAGTATCATGAGGAAAGAATTTTCTAATGTAGCTACTGTGAACATTCAAAAGCACTGCTTTGGTCATTACACTTCTCAGTAAGAAAAAGAAGAGTAAATAAGTTACATTCCAGTGAAGTAAAACCACAAAAAGTGAAGAGCATTCCACAATGACCAGGGCAAAGGCATTATTCAGTCTGTGCATGTTATATTCTCTGATATTATAAATTCCATTTCTTTTCTTTAAGATTAAACTACAAAATTGCTTTTGCTTAATCCCTTTGTAGATTCCTTTTATCTTTGGGAAATCAAACACGTAGGCACTACAAAGCTGTTTAGATGCTCTATTGTAAGGCTGAGTTTGACAGGGTTGGGCTTCTGTGTATAGGGTGACTGGGCACCAAAGCTGGCACTTTTCTTGGGGTACCATCAAATGTTAGTATCTAGAGTGTCTTTCCTCTAGAGTGGTTTAGTTACTAGACTAGCTTAGCTCTTCAGTCTCTTGCCATGGGCAGCATATACCTGGCTTCTGACAGTCTGGGAAGACGTTGGAGAAATATCTAGGTTCTTACATGCATACAATATATTCAGTCTTCCTGGTTTCAGCCCTGCACTAATATTTTTGAATTTGGTTCTTGGTCAGGTACAGTTGTGCCACAGATGTGGCTTCTTGAATGGAGAACTGTATTTTTATATGTTTACTTAGAAGAGGGGAGACCCAGCTATGGAGTGGGGTTCTGGTAGCCCTGATTTTGAATACTTCCTGTTTTTAGCCCCATTCATACTTTCTGTGGTAACTGGTGTCCAGAGCTTCTCCAAGGGTCTACAGGATGTTTCAGTTTTCTCAAAGCATGTTTTGCTGGAAGTATTGAGGATAAATTACTATTTTTTGAGCATCTAGATTATTTCCATAATTGCCCTACTAAAATCCTGGATATGTATATATCACTGAATTAAGATGACTTTAACTTTTTTGGGATAATACCCAGGAGAAGTATAACTGTGTCAAATAGAATTTCTACTTTTAGTTTTTTTGAAAAGTTTTCATACTGATTTCCATTGTGGTTTTACTAGTTTACATTCCCAGCAACATTATAGAAGGGTACCATTTCCCCTCACATCCTCACTAGCATTTTTTGGCTCTAATTTTTTTTTTTGGCGTTCTTTATATATTCTAGATATTAGCCCTCTATCAGAGGAGTTTCTGACAAAATATTTTTCTCATTCTGTAGGTTATCTCTTTACTCTGTTGATTGTTTTCTTTACTGTGCAGAGCTTTTTAATTTAACATAATTCCATCTGTTGATTCTTAGTATTGTATAGGCATAAATAAGCTATAAAATGAGAAGTAGAATATTGAAAATTTGAACAAACAGGCCACCTATATTCATAAAGGCATGTGTGGACAAGAAAAAGAGGAGAGAGATGTTGTAAAGCACCTGTGATCTGGCTACAGTGCTGGATCTTGGAGCTCACAAACGATTCCTCCTCCCCCACCATATACCAAGAAATGAAAAAGTGGAATTGTGGCAATTAGCCTTAAAAATTAATGATGGAGGGCCGGGCATTTAGCTCAGTGGTCCCACTGCCTGCCTCACAAGGGCAAGGTCCTGAGTCTGATTCACGGTACCCCCCCAAAAAAATTAATGATGGGTTCTGAGAAAATTATTGTTTTAAACTTTTTTAGTCTTTTAATAGTTCATTGAAGGAATCTCCCCAGAAATACAAAGAGTTCTTTGTAATTAAAGAAGTTACCTCTCTAGTAAAGACTTACAGAAGAAAGAACTCGTATCACAAAATGGGTTGGTAAGATAGTAGATTAAGAAAGTTCTTTACATAAAACATGAGGGCTGCAGAAGTTCATAAGCTGAGGGTAAGAATACACGGAAGAAACTTTTGATGGAAAGACAAATATCTTTGTAAGTTTTCTGGAATAGATTCTTTGCATTTAATATTTTTCTAGGCATCTTCTTCAACGTCCTCATCTTTATTATCTGGTTAAGATGGTGTGTCAGATTGCTAATATAAGGTCAGGTTTAGAGAAGATAGACTTGTACATATCAGAAAAGAAAGAATGAAAATGAGTAGGCATGGGAGAGAAGAGAAAAAATGAGAAAAAAAGAAAGCTTTAGAAAAAGAATTTTTGAAAATATGACCAAGCCTTTCTCTTCTTCTTTTAAATGACATTTCCAATATGATTGATCTGGGAATTTCTGGGAGAAAAGTAAGAAAACAAAGGATAGGAGGGAGAAAAGAAGAGAGAGGGGAAGAAAGGAAGGAGTGAATAAAGGAGCAAAGGAAGAAAGAAAGAGAAGGGGAAAGGGAAGGAAAGGAAAACAAGAAATATTTTCAGACCTTAACCGAAAATAACTTAGTGTGTATGTATAAAGGTGTTAGACGTAGAGTGCGTAATTATCATGTGTTAAATAAGAAACTGATTTTAAGGTATTTTTGTCAACCAGCTATGTGCTTATGTAAAAATGGAATAAGAACCTGTATCAAAGAGCTATTTAAAAATTAGCAATTAAAAGAATATGATAATAAAATATCTATTAATAGTGATAGGCCCTGTTACTACTATATATTTAAAAATAAAAGTTAATAAGGTTATGACCTCTATTTGTGGAGCAATAATAACATTCTGAGATCCTCTTTTGTTTCATATATGAATATCACGAAATTTTCATCACAGTTGACTAAAAGCAATACAACAGAACAACACTATTTTAGTGCCCAGTAGGCTAGCGACAGATCTTTTTAATGAGTAAAAAGGAGCGAAACTGATTTTTCCTGATGAAAGGTAAGAAGTCTAATGTTATTTATGAAGCTCATTTCTCATTTACTTTTCATATTTTGGGCTTGTTTTCAGGCATAAGAACTCCTGTGGAAGATGGAACTCCTTGTCCATGTTCCAGAATGTGCTTCCAAGTCCATCAAAGGAACCTGATACTGCTGTTCTGTGTTGAAATGCTTGAAGAACACCCACATCTCTGCGTGCACCTTCCATCCTCTTGAAACCATGGTCTTCTCGCCAGTGTTGACAGCTTCCCATACTGGGGCATCCAATACAACATTTATAGTCTATGAAAACTCCTACATGAATATTACAGTCCCTCCACTATTCCAGCCTCCCAGTATTGGTCCACTACCTAGGTATAGTTTTGAAACCATGGCTCCCACTGGTTTGAGTTTCTTGACAGTGAATAGCACAGCTGTGTCCCCAACACCAGCAGCTTTTAAGAGCCTAAACTTGCCTCTCCAGATCATCCTTTCTGCTATAATGATATTTATTCTATTTGTGTCTTTTCTTGGGAACTTGGTTGTTTGCCTTATGGTTTACCAAAAAGCTGCCATGCGATCTGCAATTAATATCCTCCTTGCCAGCCTGGCTTTTGCAGACATGTTGCTTGCAGTGCTGAACATGCCCTTTGCCCTGGTAACTATTCTTACTACCAGATGGATTTTTGGGAAATTCTTCTGTAGGCTATCTGCTATGTTTTTCTGGTTGTTTGTGATAGAGGGAGTTGCCATCCTGCTTATCATTAGTATTGATAGGTTCCTTATTATCGTCCAGAGGCAAGATAAATTAAATCCATATAGGGCTAAGGTTCTGATTGTAGTTTCTTGGGCAACTTCTTTTTGTGTGGCTTTTCCTTTGGCTGTAGGAAACCCTGACCTACAGATACCTTCCCGAGCCCCACAGTGTGTGTTTGGGTACACAGCCAATCCAGCTTACCAGGCATATGTGATTTTGATTTCTCTCATTTCTTTCTTCATACCTTTCCTGGTGATACTGTACTTATTTATGGGCATACTCAACACCCTTCGGCACAATGCCTTGAGGATCCATAGCTACCCTGAAGGTATATGCCTCAGCCAGGCCAGCAAACTGGGTCTCATGAGTCTACAGAGACCCTTCCAGATGAGCATTGATATGGGCTTTAAAACACGTGCCTTCACCACCATTTTGATTCTCTTTGCTGTTTTCATTGTTTGCTGGGCCCCATTCACCACGTATAGCCTTGTGGCAACATTCAGTGAACACTTTTACTATAAGCACAGCTTTTTTGAGATTAGCACCTGGCTACTCTGGCTCTGCTACCTCAAGTCTGCATTGAATCCACTGATCTACTACTGGAGAATTAAGAAATTCCATGACGCCTGCCTGGAAATGATGCCCAAATCCTTCAAGTTTTTGCCACGGCTCCCTGGTCACACAAGGCGACGAATACGCCCCAGTTCTGTTTATGTGTGTGGGGAACATCGGACAGTAGTGTGAATATTAGAACTATCTGACAGTTTAGGTGATGATTGTTCTTTATTGTGTTTAAATTTTTTTACATGGCTTCTCCACTTAAACTTTATTGTTTTTTATATAGTATGTGTGTGTGCAGTGTAAAAAAAGAACGAAAATTAGTTGTAGTCCTGTTACTGAGGATACACAATAGAAATGATCACAAAAGTTACCTCCAGAGTTCAAGAAAAATTCTTAATTGGAGATGGTTTTGTGTGTATGTTTTGTTGACTGGTTTTAGTTTTGTAGCAGGAGTCAGGATTGTGCTTTATTGAGCCTGCAGTTACCTTGAATTGGAGATGTTTTGTATGCTGCTAAGGTATCTTAGTTGAGCTTATCAATTCTTTTTTTTTTTTCCGGGAGCCACTGCTACTTATTTTGTCATCAAGTTGGAGCCAAAATCTTTCATACATCTTAGTTAAATATTTACTTTTACTTAAAAAATAACCCAAGGAGGTTAGTGACATTTTAAAGGTCATTACTATTTACTTTGGTGCACTTTAAGAAGCAATGTACAGATTCAGTCATTTTTCTGAATTGTTTTTATAAATGACATAGTGGTTCAGAAAGCATGTGCATTGTCATTTCTAGTAATAGTATTTTTTAAATGTTTTATATGCATGTACAATTTTAAAAGAGAATGTAAAATGTAAAACTAATTCTAAGCACAATAGCAACTTTTCAGAGCAATAGGGGAAAATCAAAGAGAAAGAGCACCCTTGCAAATTTCAAGGAGGAACACAGTGGGGAGGGTGGCCTTTTCAGGCTGTGGCAGTTCTCTACTAAAGGGCTCTCAGTGTGGTAGGATAAGGCCTGGCACTTAGGGACACCTATTGTGTGCCAGACACTGCACATCCCTTTACTCTCCAGGCATCCTGTGAGGTAGATATAACTTTTTCATTTTTGGTTGAGAAAACAAATTTCAAAGGGACTAGAAATCCTACCTAGGCTTAGTGGTTAGTGGTATCCAAACATTTGTGAAATCCTGAGACTACTATTTCACTGTGCCACACAGACACCTCATCCAGCTTAGATGTTTCATAGTCAAGAAGGAACTCTGCATATCCTTTAATTTTTAAAAACTAAAGCCATCTTTTTCAAAATAGCTTCATTTTTCATTACCAAAAAGATAGGAAACTAATACAGAAAGTCTGATTATAGGCCACATGCAATCACGTATAACCACCTTTTAGTGTGGAACTTAATAATCTAAAGATAAAATAGGTACAAATAAAAATGATAAATATAAAAATAAGAGAAAAAATTTTTTTGATTTGCAAAACAAGTGATTGACAGTTACTGAGAAATTAAAGATAACTATATAGATCTTGCCCTTCAAGATCTGGAATTTCTAGTTGTCCAGCTATGTTTATTCTAAATATTCTGGGCAGAACAGCATTGTTGCCCCAGTGCTTGCCTTAGCAGAGCTGGAGTTCGGACTCTGCAGTGCTTCTTTTGCATAGACGGGAAGATAAACATTGATCTGTGCCTAGAGCTAGTTTTAATACAGCAGGCCTGAGGTTTCCATTTATTTTTCTCTTGGTGACTGTTTGCCTGCCCAACAGATCCAGGACCTTTGGTCATCTTCTCTGGTTGCCACTGGCACACTTTATAAAATAGCCAACAGGGATGGGACAGCAGACTGAGGCCACAAAGGCTGAAAGTGTAGCCTTTGGGCTACATTATGACCTAAATCTGTTTTTATCCATGGATTTATAGCATTTTTCTGAATTTTAGTGCTTTGTGAGCCATTGGAAAAAAATGAGCATCTGTTTCTTCAACTGTAAAACTAGTGAGTTGGATTTGATAAATCTTGTAAGGTCTTGTTAGACTCTAATATGCTTTCCTCATCAGAGTATCAAAATTTGAAGATCTTAGCTAACTTGAGTTTCACTTCTTGGCCTCCAGTATTACATCTTTACATTTTATTTCATTTGATGTTTCTTAAAATTCAGTGCCTGAAGTTTGTATCATAATATCAGGAGTTAGGACAATGAAAAGTTGGTGACATCGACCTGTGAAACCTTGCTCTTCAGGCATTTACAGTTGTTTTGGAATTTATTGTTAGGCTGAAGAACTCTTTTAGGACTCAAGTACATTATTCAATATGTTGTTTTGGAATCATCTTCAGATGATAGTCACCTACCTCTTTAACTTGTAATTTAGATTAATCACAGATAAAATGTTTTTCCATAAGGAACTTGTAGAACATAAACACTGTAGTAGATTCTAGTAGCACATTGAAGTGTATTTTAATTTCCATTGTCAATATAAACTGGATCTCAAGCAGATATTAAAAATGATATTTGAGATTCGACTTTCTTAAGAAAGTCAGCATGATCTGTATTCATCTTGTACATTGATAGATCTTGAGACTCCTTTTGTGGCTCGAGTTGAAACTGAGCTTTATTTGCTATATTCTTATTTCATGAGCAGTTTTAAATACTTTTATGCTGCTGAGTAGGTAGTACCTCATTTTTTGAGAGCCCAGGAGTGGCTTCTTAAATGCTTGCTGTGGATGAAGACCATGAAGGGTCTTTGTGAGAAGTTAGCAACAACACTGAATGGTGGTTTTCTTTACACTGGATAATCTTGGTCAGATGACAGTTTACACATAATTTTGAACGTTTTTATTATGTATACATTTTGTAAGCTTTTTAAAAAAAAATCTGGTGCACCTAAGAAACTTAGGTGCAAAACTGCATGTTGCTTATTTCGCTATATTTTCTTGAGGGGAAGAAAATACCACTACTCAAGTATCACTGCTGACTGACATCATCAGAAATGATACTTCTTTGTTTTTCCTTCTGGCCACTAAATAAGTAGTATGAGTGACATAATGAAATAGTTGTGATCAAAAGAGAGAGTGAAGAGAAATCCCAAATAATCTCTAGTAGTGGCATTTAAACTTTAATAAGTGTTTATATAGTCCTTCGGGGATCTAAACAGTACAGATGATTCCTTGGTCCACAGAGGGTCTGTGGTTGGGCCCAGAAATATACATTCTTATTTTATTGAGCATTTTACCTGATTCTGGTTCTTGTGCACATTTCCAAAATCACCTATAGAAAATATATTAAATTAAGCAGTGTCTGTTTTATCTCATAATATTTGTTTTGTGTTGGAAGTCATTATCTCCTAGTGAATGGATAATCCACACTGGGAGGAAAATCTACATACTGTGTCTAATTGGCTGCCATCTGTGTTAGTGTGTATCTCACAGTGTTAGCTTTACTTTCTTTTAACTGGCAAAAATTCTGATAAACCACGTAGTTTCACAGTAGAGCAAAAAGGTGACTTAGTAATTAAAGTCATGACATTCAGAAGTCTAATTACTGTTATATTTACTTTCTCCTAGAGACATCTCTCTAGGGCATCTCTTGATTATATGAAATTTCCTGGAGAATGTGAGGGAAATGTAAAGAATTTTCTAATTCCTGTTGCTCTGCTTATGCCAATTGTATTCAATGGAAGCATGAGATAAAATAACCTTTTTAATCTATGTATTTCTGTTGCCAACAAAGATTTAATTTTTTAATCTTTGCTTTTGTTTACATGAAAATATGTATGTATCCCAGAAAAGTTTTCACTTGCTTGATATTTTAATGTGTACCATGATTTTTAGTTTCTTTAAACCACTGTTAGATTCAAATTTGCTTTCATAACCATAGCCCTGCTAAGCTGAAAACTCAGTTTTTATAATAATAAATAAAAATATTAAAGCACATGTTTGTTATTGCAAGTAAATGGTAATAATTTCTTAAGTATCTATTGATACTAGTCCTTTATAATTAAAATTAATTTATTTTATAACAGTACTTGGCACATATTTTTAAAAGTTTGAATTTTCAGTTACAATCTTTAAATCTCAATGTGTAGCTATTTGTGCATATTATTACAACCAAGAAAAGACCTCCCAATAAGAAAATGAATAAATGTTTAACATTTCTACAGTGGAGTTTTTTTTAATGACTTCATCTCATCTTGAAAGTTTGTTATGAATACTACTTTCTGTTAAATTAAAATTTGAACTTAGTTTCAACCCTTGTTTTTTTTTTTTGGATCCTTATTTTCACATTACCTCTCAAAGCCTATGTGCATGTAACTATGAAGTATAATCTCATTTTATAAGTTCTCAGGAAACTAAAACTTGGTAATAAACTATCAGTAGAAAAATAGTTTTAAGAAGTTCTGTCTAGGTAAGTTATGAAATTTTGTTTTTGACTTATTTAGACAGTCAGATAAGTAGTGAGAATGTCTGCTTATATTTTGATGAAATGATTTCATACTAAAATTCTATTTCTTAAGTCTAAGACCTTTCTAAAATTCATTTATAAATCCATAAGAAACATCATTTATTTGTATATAAGAGCTTCAATTTTGTACCAGTTAGGCACAAGTTAGGGTTTTATTTTCTTTTTCATGTGCAACAGCTAAATATATTTCTTATTTTTAAGTTACAAATGCAGATTGATTTACAAAAGCAGATTGTCCTTAGATCTACATTTATTCTCTTTTGAAAAAGCAAAGTAAGAAACAGCAAATAGAGCAACATACTGGATTAAAAACATACAGTACTAGTATCTACTATGAAAATAATGACTCCCCCCACCCAATTCATCCATAATAGAATCCATTTGGAGCAATGTCTGCTTTAATATTGAGGTGCAGTCAATTAAATTTAATTGAAAATGAAAAATAAAAATTTTATGGCTGTATCAGGAAAAAGAGACATCGGAAAAAGGTGGCCAGGCAAGCATTTAATATGAAGAACAGTACCACAGGAAAGGGGGAAGACTGGACTTTCCAGCATACCCTAAAGCTGCTGTCCACTGGTGGAATTGCTTTTCCTCAGAGAAAGCCTTATCTCTGCTTTTAAGTCTTTTCAAGTGATAAAATCTGCTTCTCCTGGATTATCTAGGCTAATTTTCCATATATAATGTGGAATGATTATAGACTTTATAATCATGTCTACAGAATTCTTTCACAACAGCACTTAGGTAGTGTTTGGTGGAATAACTGGGGTCTGTGGGCCTAGTGGAACTGACTCATTAAGAGCATTGCAATAGCTATATCCAAATTCAAAATATAAAATCCTTTTTACCATGAAGTAGGTAATGGTCCAAAAATTCAGTCACATAAATATTAGTGTTGTGTAAGTTGGAGGTTAATAAAATGACCAAATTAAGATTGTTGCAGGGCAGAGGTGTGCATTCTGATTACGTTATATTCAAATTTGCATAATTACAGGCTGTCTATGTCTGGTTTTCACATTATTTGAAACTTCTTAAAAAGGAGTAATAATGGATTGATTAAGATGATTGTGTAGATCATTTTTTTCTATATAAGCTTTTATTATCTATGATACCTGTCAAAGGGGATATTTTCATTCTAAATAATTTTGAAAGCATTTGTAGCAGTAGCAGCATTAACTAAACATAAAAGTGTAGTAGTAATACTGATAGATGTATTTTTTTGGCCCTTTCTGTGGTCAAAATGTACAGTATCTATTTTACTTCATGTAATTTCTCCTTTTCTAAGTGGGGAAACTGTTCCCAAGAAATTAAGTAACTATTTCAAGAATAGCTGGAGTTCAAATATAGGTATAATTCCAAAGCTTATATTTTTTTCTAGGCTACCTTGCCCTGTTATTCTCTGGTAACAGAACTGAGTCTCTAATGAGAAGAGCTTACTAAAAATTCCTGGATAAATACTGGATAACTGTTACTGACTATACATTAGAAAATCTTAAAAATTATAGCAAAACTTGTGTTTGAAGCTGTGAGTATTATTTCGCCACCTGCTGTGCAAGCGCAAGGACCTGAGTTCGATCCCCAGTACCAAAAAATTTTAAAAAAATAAAAAATAAAATAAAGTTAAGGTTAAATGGATTTGGTCTTGGTTTTACGTCATTTGTATTTGGCTAAATCAGAAATATTGGGCCCCTGGAAGCCTTGGATATAACATCTCTAATGTCATAGAACATTTATGGGATTTACTAATGGTGACAGAAACTTTGGGCACTTACCTCCTGGCTACTTCTCTTAAATCTCATGTACTCCAGGACTTCTTTTGAGAAGGCTTTTACACTAGTCCACAATTGAGTTTTGATTATATGATACTTTATCTGAAATACTGTAATGGTTGTTACCTGTAGTAGCTAAGAATGAGGAAGAGGAGGGGGAAATGATGAAGGCTGGGCATGGCTTAGATGTTGGAAGAGGCAGTATAAAGCTTTCCTGGTCACACTTTCCCCCAGCACCCTGCTCTTGTGGAGGTACCTGCCCAAGCCCTTCATGGGACAGATACCCACAGAACAAATAACTTTTGTGAGGACTCTAGCAGTTCCTCAGAGAAAAACGCTTCTTAGAGTCACCCCCTAAGAAGTTATTGCCCCCATGGGACCATGAGTCCCTTGAGCCAGTGGACTGTGTCATGTTCACTGCTTGGCCACAGTAGGCATTCAATTGCTAATGTTGATGAGCCTTAAAAAACAACAATGGCTGAAGAGTAAGGAGACCAAGAGACTGGTATTTAAAAATCAAAATGCTATTGGCATATTCATATGTAAACTGACAACAGCAGAACTTTTCTGAGTGTCAGTGAATACTTTATTGTATATAAATACAGTAATGCATCAATTTGGAATTTGTGATAAGTAGACATGATTATATATGGTGTATTAGTTGGCTTTCCAATCACTGGGACAAACTATGAGAGATTCTCTCTCTATCTCCTATTTTGCAGTAAAAAGTACTGAACCAAGCAACTTTCACACTAAACTACATCCCCAGCCCATTTTTTATTCTAATTTGAGACAGTTTTGCTAAGTTGCCTGGGCTGGGCTCAAGCTAGAAATCCTGCCTCATGCTCTCAGAATGCAGGGCAAGGTGGGTGCATCCCCTCACCCAGCCAAGAGACTTTTTTCTTCATGGTCTCAGAGGGTTCAGTCCATGGTTAGCTTGCTCCAAGGCAGGAACAACATAGCAGAATGGCCTGATGGAGGAAAGCTGTTCAACTGAAGGCAGCCAGGAAACAGAGAAAGAGAGAAGAGAATGGCCAGGGACAAGAATATACCCTTCCAGGTCAAGGCCCCAGTGGCCCACCTCCTTCAACCATGCCAGCCTCCTAACAGCAAATTCAGCTATGAATTCATCAGTGGATTAATCCACTGATAATTATGGTATACCCATGATCCAATCACTTTCTGAAAGCCTAACTTCTGAACATAGATTTTTGTGAGACACTTTAGATCTAAACCATGATACTACATGGTTACCTTAAAAATGTTGATTATTTCAATTAATAAAGTTGACAGCAAAGCTGTCAAGAGAAGTCAGAGAAACCAAGAATGCTGAACTGGGAGTCAGGAATCCTGGGGTCCTGTGTCAGCTTTGAACTTGCTGTGTCTGCAGAACTCTCAGCCCATTATAAAGTTAAAGAATTCAAAGGTGCTTCTAAAGTCCTGATTGATAGAATTATTTTATTGAATCATTTGTATTTTTAAAACTACCAAAAAGACTAGTACTTTTTTTTGAATATTTAAAAAAAAGAATATGTGATTTATTTTTTTTGACCGTTCTACAACAGTACCTCCATTAGAGGTTTTAAAATACATTGTGCTCTACCAAGCAATTGAGGAAGCAGTTTTAGGGCAGTTAAATGCCCATATTCTTGAAATGGATAGGAGACAGAGTTGGGATTCAAATCAGAACCTCATCAGCTTTTAAAGTTTTTCCCACTTGACCTTGAGTTGGTGAGATTTAACTGTCAAAAAGAGTAAGATTAAATAGTGAGGCAGCAAGATTTGGAAAAACCAGTAATTGAGTAAGCAGAGGCCAGACAAATGATCCTGGAGAGCTTCTTAATGTAATAGGTACATTTTTATTGGTGGAGATGAGAATAATGGAAGTTTTAAAAAGCATTTTAAAGAAAATAGTTTTTGTAAGATCGTTACCCAACTTTAACCACAAAAGTGATCAGGGAGAAAGGAATATGGGAAGGCCAATGTATTAAGGTCAGGAATTGTTGCTTCCTATCATTTGGAACAGCAATTTGGTCTTCTCATCCTGGACCAAAACTTCTGAGGGTCCCTAAGTTCAAGTGTCACATCCTACATAGCTAAATGGTTGCACATTGAGGCCATGCTCTTAAGTGAAATAAATAGGACACACATGTAAACACTGAATAGTTTCTCTGGTATGAGAAACTGAAAGTGTAAGGATCAAAATGTATAATAGTATGAAATAGGAAAAGGTGCAAAGGGGAAGGGAAGTGGGAGGGATAGGGGAAATGAAAGAAGGGAAAGGAATAAATATGAGAAAAGGAAAAACGGAAACAAAGTCTTTGTAAATGGGGGGGGGATTTGAAGGGAGGGCAGGGAAATGGGGAAAAAATAAGAACCAAGATATATCATGTAAAGGTACAAATTTCCAATGATGAATGCCATCATACTATATACCTAAAATGTACCAATAAACTTAATTAAAATGGAAAAAAAGGATATTTCTCTGTGACAGGAAGATAGATTTTTCTTGTACAGCTTTCCCAAAGGTTTTTACAATCTCAAAAGCTATAATTTAAACTACAAGAAGTGACAGTATTTTGTTAATCTGTGCAAAGGCTACTACTGCTAATAGTTTCTATCTGATCTTTTTTTGAGGCAAAAGACTCCTCCTGAAAACATAAATAGTAAAGCATAAACAGTGCATATAAAGAGAAGAAAAGAAAATGAAAGAAGGACTTCTCAAATAGATTTTTATTTCTCATCCTATCCTTTCTCTTTGCATTCACCCATTTTCTCTTACACATGCCACACTCCATAGAGCAGGGCATTATGTTTGCTTCTTGTTTCTCCATCTCTTATGGTGCCTTGCAAAGAGTAGTATCCCTAGAAGTCTGGAATTGGACCTGCTAACAACAGAATCTTGGTGGTAAAAGTCATAATGGACTTATTCAAACCAAATAGGGTCTAAGCAAGAGCTCAGTATGTAGGTCTTACATCCCCAAGTCCCATCTAATTTACTTCCTTGACCTAAGGGA